GCAAGCTCCTCCTGCTTGTTCCCTATGCTTCTTGCATTAATGAAGAGACACCTTAATCCCCCTGTGGGAGCCCTGGGCACACCCCCCTCCCGCCTTCCTGAGGGACCCTTCCTGGTCCCTTGGTATATACCTGAGCTCTTACCTGGGCAGGTCCTACACTTGGTTGAGTTATCTCTTGCTCCTGTGGATCCCCATCCCCCGACGTACTTAGTTTAAAGCCCGCCGGAGGAGGTGAACTAGCCTGTAAGAAAACAAACTCTTTCACCTCCCCATTAATCTCAGACTTTCATCAGACTTTCACCTCCCCATTAATCTCAGTTTTAGCTTCTTAATTTCCTTTGGCCACAATGAGTGCCAGGTCTTGTAGGCAATGAGTTGGGAAGCATAGTTTTGTAGCTTATAATCAGACATTTCTATGGTTCAGTCTTCCTGCTGACTTTCAATAGGACTCATATGTTTAAGAAACTAACTAACCTTTGAATGTAAGGCCATGCGTTACCCCACCAGTACCACCACACCATTCAGGGTCCATGGGTTCTCCCAAGTACCCTAGCTGCATGCTCCTTCAGCTCCAGGCCACTCCACCCCAGCTGCAGGGGTGGGGTCAGGCCATGGAAGCAGGAAGAGGGCAGAGAAATCCAAAGACCACAGGGACAGCAGCTGGAGAGCAACCACCTGGGGAGAGGCACCCAGAATAGGAGCTGCTGTAGTTTAACACCTTGGGAGCCAGATGTAGACCCTGCTTGTCCCCCTGATCCCCTCTTCTTCCCTCCCCACCCCACAGACCCCCACTAGCTCCCTTATTCCCCCCATGAACTCCATTGATCCATGGCCCAAAGCCTGCTTGCACCCCCTCCCCTGCCGCAAGCCTTCCTTTCACTATCCCCCTCATCCCACTTTACCTTAGATTGGGTGGCAATTTTTAACTCCATCTAACCACCCATTAATCCTCCCAAATGTCTGTATGTACCCTTAGTTGTGATGACTTCTTCGGATTTTTTTGATTTTTTTTTTTAAACCTTTTATGGAACTTGGGACTTCAGTTCCTTTCTCTGTTTCCTACAACCTCATGCTTTTTTCTCCACAATATGTGTTTACTTTCTTATGTTTATTTTCCCTTTGGTTTTGAATTTAACCAGTGTGCTTTATAACACTAACTTGCTATATTAACTGTTGGTGCTTTGTAGAGATGATAGAATATACTTACATATTGTCATAAGCACACACAGAGGCAGTCTAGTATTCTTTGGGCTGCAGGGATTTTTAAGAAAGTGGTGCTTAAAAAAAAGCAATTGTGTATTTAGATCAAAAACTGTATCATGTTTCATTGAAATCTTTAATGTTAAAATGCTTTCATTTTTCTTTAATTGACTTAAACACATATTCCACATGTTTAAAGCAGTCAGAGCTGCATATTTTTAAATAAGCAGCTAAGTGAGAAGAAACATCAACATACCAAATTGATATACAAGTACTAATGCATGCAAGTGATATGAAACCTCCATTCCCTTTGAGTTCAGTACAGAATATTTAGTGTTCACAATTTCAAGTCCAGAATCACTCAGAACCTGAAAAAATAGAACTTTAACTATAGTAAAATGCCAGCAAGTCCAGATTTTTTATTCTTCTTAGGATGTTTTATATTTTCAGAACTTTTTTTCCTGTGATAAATATATCTGCTCATGTTTTACTTTGGAAACATGTTGATAATACAAAACTGACAGAAAGCAATTCACCTTTTAAAAAATGAGAGGTTACATAATATTCATCTGTCTTCTTTCTTCTTTTTCTTCTTTCTTTTTCTTTTTTGATTTTTTTCTTGTCCTTTCTTCTTCTTTTCCTTCTTCCTCCTTCTCCTCCTCCAGCAGAGAGTTGCATGTAAAAACATATTTTAGGAATAAACAGAATTTGTTTCATGTTGGATAATGATTTTTTTCTCTACTATTTTGCAGATATTAATGAATGCAATGAGGACCCCAACATCTGTCTCTTTGGCTCCTGTACCAATACTCCAGGAGGATTCCAGTGCATTTGTCCCACAGGCTTTGTGCTGTCTGACAATGGAAGGAGGTGCTTTGGTAAGTTTTGGGATTAAAGAAGAGTTGAATTAAAATATATCAGCATTGTTGCCATCTCAGGCTCTTTCTTGAATTTTATTATGTTCAAAAATATTCAGGTCATCCCAACAAAATGAAAGTTTGTCTGTGGCGTACCATGCTTTCCAAAAGCCCATAAATCTTTTCCATTATCCTCCAATACAACTTAACAGTGTTATCTACAGTCACACTGACTTGTATATCTTTTCATAAAAACATGGATGGATTTCTTAACCCAGTGTACCCTCTTTATTTGCACTTCCATGTGGGAGCAGAGGCTAGTTCATACACCAGTCCTCTCAGGTCCCATCTCAAGGATACCATGGTCATATGCTATTTGCATTGGGCTAGAGCAGTTTTGAGGATAAAGTATGGGATTAGAGCAGGGGTGGGCAACATGGTGAATCTGGTGGGCCGCCAGATTCCATTTCCCAGAAGCCCCTGACTGCGTTGCTGTGGCTGGTTTCCATGGAGACCCCAGCAGCAGTAGCACCATGACAGCGCAGGCCAGGGTTTCCGTGGAGACTGGCCCCGGCAGTGCTGGCAAGGCACATGGCTGGGCAAGGAGCTGGTCCACAGCCAGGGTTGGGATCTTGCAGTGGTAACAGTGTGGTCTGGAGCTGGGGAGAGCTCCAGTCCACTGCCTGCACACCAGGTTATGCCCGGGGTGTGTGGGCAGCAAATAGCAGCTCTGCCCCAGCTCCGGACCATGCTGTTACACTACAGGATCCCAGCCCCAGAGCAGCTTCCCATTCAGCTGCACACCCTGCCAACACTGCTGGAGCTGATCTCCATGGAAACCCTGGCCTCACGCTGTCATGGTTCCACTGCTGCTTGTGTCTCCATGGAAACCAGCTACAGTAATACTGGGAAGGGCTGCTGGGAAATCAAGTCTACCAAAGACCCAGTCTGGCCTGTGGGACAGACTTTGCCCACCCCTGGATTAGAGAGTTACAGCCGGCTTCCTGACAGTGCCCTCACTTTGCTGCATCCAGCAAATGATGGGCATGGAGGAGAACTTGCTTCAAAAGATCACAAGGATTGTCTTTTACCTTCTATTTCTCTTTTTTATTTGAACTCAGAATGTGCTGAGAACTCTGGTTAATGTTTATGGAAGAAATTATTTTCTTATAATAGAATTTCACGTGTCTTGAGCTCAGTCCCTTGTTCCCCGGTCCACAGGTTTTAGGGCTAATCAGTGTCATTGTAACTACAGTGAAGGCATTTTTGTCGTGATAATGCTGGTCTTTCTGACTTGCAGAGGATGAGTGATTCACAAAAAGGTCTTGGTCCTCATCACTTCTGTTGTGGAAAACTGGGGTGGTGTCCTGTAGTTTGAGTGAGGAAGCATTTGCCCCCATATAATAGGGATAGACGAGTGTCCTAAAGAAAGGTAGGAAAGTCTGATGCAGTGTTTGTTTTGCTCCTTTCCTAGATACCCGCCAGAGCTTCTGTTTTACTAACTTTGAGAATGGGAAATGTTCTGTTCCAAAAGCATTTAACACCACCAAGGCAAAGTGTTGCTGCAGTAAGATGCCAGGAGAAGGATGGGGTGATCCCTGTGAGCTTTGCCCCAAAGAAGAGGAAGGTATGCATTGAGGTTTAAAATTAACATTTCTTTGCAACTTATCTTCTCTATTCATGGGAAGGATGCTGCATCTTGCTAGAAGTGGCTACTGAGAGATCTATAGGGATCAGTTTTCCTGGTCAGAAAGTAAAAGGGACAATTCAGAACAGAAGAAAGAAAAGAAAAAAACTGACACTCTGGGGCTAAGTACAGATGTTCAAAAAGTCCCTGGCAGAATCACTCTAACTATTGTGCTTTATTTAAAGTGCTATAAATTAGAGCACAAGTGAACTGAACAGACATTTCAAACATGTCAGTGATGGGGGGAGGAGGGGGCATCAGAGCCTGCCTGCAATGGTCACTAGGAGTGCTCCTACATGCCTCCCAGGAGGCTGATGGAGTGGCTTCTCTCACCAGCCCCCCTCTCTCCTCCCCCCAACCAGCTGGTGAATATCAGCAGCGGCTGTGGGGGAGAGATCCCAGACCCCTTCCCCTGTAGCCCCCTGTCCAGGCAGCAGCACACCGCAGAGCCAAGGATGCTGTGGGGAGAGCCGCTGGAGCCCTTCCCCTCTGGTCCCCCTGGCTGGCTGCAGCATAGCCCTGGGCCAGGGTTGGTGCAGTGAGAGGGACTCCCCTTTTCTCCCAGCCACCCAGGTTGTGGCTCACAGCTGCCCAGAGGGAGGAGGCAGGGCTGGGATCAGAGGCTGTCACTGACTCAGATCAGTTGCAGCTGAGGGGGCAGGGCTAAACCGACACTCAGGAAGAGCAAATGAGCTCTGCTGAAGGCTAGAGCACAGCCCCATGCAATGCCACCTGGAATGGCAGTGATTGTGTTCTAAGTTAACCCCCAGAATCTGGCACAGGCATTCGATAAAGTGTTCTAACAAAGCACTTTAACCTAATACCTCATCCATCAAGACTTAACTTAGAGTGCAATCTGCCATTTTTAAAGTGTTCTAAGAGCTGTGAACTTCTGTTCTGTTACAGTTTTAGAGTGCTTTCTGTGCGCTTAAAGTGCACTAGCTGTAACGTCTGTACCTAGCCTAAGTCACCATAATCGCTGTGCCCATCAATAAACTAACAGCCTCTCAATGTAGTCCTGCTGCTTTAAGACAGAGGAAAAACAAAAAAAGGGTCAGGGTCCAGAAATACAAAAAAAATCATTAGCTCTTGGTTCTTGGTTGTTCCTGTGTACCAATTATTTGATCTAATTTGGGGGGTGGGGTGGAATTTGCTTCTGAAACTATCAGGAAAGAGCTAGCATGAAAGTTGGGAGTTAATTAAATTCAGGCAGATGCCAGCTTTAAAAGTGCTGTAATATTTTGATCATTTAGATGGCTTCTCTCCATTTATCATGTTTGTGATTTTTTTAAATTTTTTTTCTGTACAGTTGCTTTCCAGGATTTGTGCCCCTATGGCCATGGGACTATTCCTGGAATTGATGATACACGTGAAGGTATTTCATTACTTCTCACAGCAAATAGAAAATCTTATATGTTTTGTTAAACTAGGCTTCACTGAGAACTGCAATACACCATGGCTCCTGGTAAAAGACATTTCAGTTTCTAAGAGTGGCAAAAGCTTTGGCTCCTAAAAAAAACAGATGCGTCTTGTAAGTTACTTTTAAATTGCAGAATTATGTTTTGGCTAGAGACATACAGAGCAAGGTGCTTATTCCTTGATTTTATTTTTCAGTGGACATACAACATTTGATATAAAATGTTCAGTTAGTTCCCATAACTTTCTGTTTTTCAGATGTCAATGAATGTCTTGAGAGCCCAGGCATTTGTTCAAATGGCCACTGTATCAACACTGATGGCTCATTCCGCTGTGAGTGCCCCATGGGATACAACTTAGATTATACTGGAGTGCACTGCGTAGGTGCGTGTTAGTTCTGCATTATATTGCAAGCACAGTAGTTCTTAAAGTTCGTGAACTCAAGCTACTGCTTGGCCTGTGTCCCAGTTCTCTTAAGTTTGTGTTTTCTTATTGATTCCCAGATACCGATGAATGTTCAATTGGGAATCCATGTGGAAATGGCACATGCACTAATGCGATTGGTAGTTTTGAATGCAACTGTCATGAAGGGTTTGAGCCAGGCCCAATGATGAATTGTGAAGGTAAATTATTTCCCCCCTCCTTTCTTTTTCTCTTTATTTGAAGTACTTTATAAATTATCTAGGCCTTATACCATAGTAGCATGTTTTTGTTACAAAGTCAAAGTTAAAGGCATCCATCCTCTTGAAATACAACATTGGAAAACAAAATCTAGAGACAGCAAATAAGCTAAAAATAAATGTTGCAAAATAAAATTTTTCATTAGTAGATAGCATGGTTATTGTAATCCTTTCTTTTGAAGGAAAAGTTTTGCCTCGGCATGATGTGGGGCAACGTGGCTTGATAGATAACTGAGCTTCTAAGAGTACCTGAACCATATTGAATCCAGTCAGAAAAAATATAACAAATATTAATGTAAATTTTGATTGTACACAAGTGTGACTGTTTGTTCAAACAGTACATAGTATAATGTCCCCAAATTGTGCAGTGTGGTCCCCCAAAAAAGAGATAGGGGAGAGAAGGCCACAGCCAGGCCATTCTGCTATTTGACAGAACTTCTAGCTGTCACTGAGAAAAACCTTAAAAATGTGACCAAGTGCAACTCATTCAAGCTTCTCCCTGTGTTTGCAAAGAGCCTGACACAATAGCTCTGATGGGTGATCTGTCATGCTCATTTCAGTGGGTTCTAAGTCAGATGCCTTTAATAAATACAGGGTGTGTCTAATTGTGACACTGGGTCACCCTAGCAATGCACTATGGCGAGGTAGCTCCTGCAGGCAAAACCCGTGACACCACAGGTACTTCGCTGAAGAGACACGCTCCCCAGTTATAGCACATCTCTACGGCAATGCAGTGCCTTAAAATAACCATTCACGGTATGCACAGCACAGTACTGGCTGCTACTGTGCCATCTTTTAGTACTTCCAAAAGGAAGTACTAAATGATAGCACAGTAACAAAGTCGCCATAGCAGCATGTGTAGACACTCCCACAGTGTCATTATTTGTTGATTGTTTTGCTAATCAATCCAGGAAATGAGCAGGAGGATCATATCTGCTGTTTGGCAGATATTTGACAACAATTTGTAGGTTTAAAGAGGAACACAGTTAGTTTATTCTCCTGAAATAGGAAGACAGCTTTCATGAGCTTGGAATTTACAAGCTCATCTCATTTTAAACATTAATACATAAACAGAATCATGTACTAAAATCTTAAGAAAACAGACAAAAAGTAGCTGACACTCTAACCTTAATGGTTAGAGGCATGCATGTTATAAAATATGTGTCTGACAGACCACATTTCTAAACTGAAGCTATCAAGGTTGTTTCTCGTTCAAGCTGGTTGAAAAAATACAAAACAATTTCCATGCTGGAGCACCGATTTCTAATAATTTCTACTGAATAACAAAGCAAGCACAAATATAAAGTTCTGATGGTGGTGGTGGTATTTCAGTTGAACTTCAGCATTGTATTTCTTCCACCTGTAGTATTTCTTCTCTTTCTTTTTTCTATGTTACATAGATATAAATGAGTGTGCACAGAACCCTTTGCTCTGTGCTTTTCGGTGCATCAACACATATGGTTTCTATGAATGCACATGCCCCGTTGGCTATGAACTGCGAGAAGACCAAAAGATGTGCAAAGGTAATCTTTCCTCTAAAAAAATTATAAGTAGCAGTTATGTGAGTATTAATTCATAGATTGTGAGGCTGGAAGGGACCTCAGAAGATTATTGAGTCCAGCCCCCCTGCACCAAGCAGAAAAGACAGCTGGGGGTCAGGTGACCATTTAATGTCCTCTAAACCAAGGAAGGAAATGTCAGGGGAAAGGGAGAAACAGGTTCCACTGAGATTTGAATTAAGATTCAAAGTCCAGGGTGCTAACCATTACACCACAGAACTATTACTGCTACTGAATGATGGCTACTAGACTGTAAACCTTTTCCTATAAAAGCCACACAGCAAGGGCCAAAGTTTTTCAATATTTCCTTCATCCAAACTCTTAAAATGTTGCGAAAGGTTCTAAATAAAATATTAAATGGATTGTTTGGGTGCAACTGGTGGATTCACCCAAATGTGACACTGACTTGGGGCTTTACTTTGTGTGTTGTATAGACATTTTCCCAAGCTGGATTTAGTACTGTGATGTTTTCTCTATTTTTAAGTTTGTATGAACCATGGCTTTCGGTGTGAATGTATATTTATATTGTTATCAAGTAACTTAACATAGGCAATAAGGTGATTTCTGACCCAGGTGTCAGGTATCCCCACACCAGACAGTAACTATTAACACATCTAAAGAAACCCAGTTTCCTGGCATTGATATCTATATCAATCAGCCAGAAAGGTAGCATAACTCAATGTGTATTTGAGTAGAGGCTTATACTTCAAAGGGAAATACCTGAGTTTGCACAGAAGGCCTGGAGTATATTTCAAAAGAAAATTTCACACTGAGAGAGCATCTATATGTCTCTTAAGTAATAGCGGCTAAAATATGATTAGAAGTTTATTGGTTTGAAAAGAGAAATAAGCAAGGATGTAATATTTCCATGTTTTATAAATACAGTACTGAGTTGAGAAGAACTCCTAGTGTGACTGAAAGGTACATATTTGGGTGGGAGAAAATCACCAGCACAATACACAGGCTTCCTGAGGATTGAGTAGAAACATGTAAATGATGACTTTTGGGAAGGCTCCTTGTCTACAAATCCCTGGCCTGAGGGAGTTAGTTGAGACCCCCAGGGCACCCCCATGAGACACCTAACTGGTGAAGACTGACATAACTTGCAGGATAAACAGGGAAGTAGCTGAGTGGAAATGCTGACAAGAGTGAAAGAGGGATTATTCACTGGTCAGGGAAGAGGGACTGCTTTGTAGTAAAAAAGCAGGGTAAAATCTTTTCATTTTTTTCTGTTTTGCAGTCTACAGTTACATTTGTTTATATGACACATCTTCCTTGTGTAATTTTTTCCCTCTTCTGTATGCCTTACTGATTGTCTGAGATAAAAGTGAATTTTATAGTAATTGATACTTTAGATCTTCTCTTCTGCAGAAGAGAATTGCCTATAACTATTTTGCAAACCAGAGGGTGAACACCCTTATAAGCTGGCAAATTTGGAGCTGAGTGGCACCCCAATACAACACCGTAACATGTCTTGTCACTTCAATTTTGAATCAAGATGGAGCATTTCATTCTGGAATGTTTCTTCTTCATGGGCTGTAGTATCACCATGTTAAAAAGAAGGATAGCTGTAATTTGCCCAATTGTGTACACATTAGGTGTGTGTCTCAGATTTCTCATGAATTTCCAACTCATAGCCCCTCTGCTACCCCAGATTAGCATGTCATCCCTTTTACTCTTATTGAGTTTTAAGTTTAAAAAAACAGTTTTAGGTTAAGGGAAAAATACATTCTTTGAACTACTAACTGTTTTCTGTAATTGAACTTACAACTGTGAGCTTATAGTATTTGAAATAAAAAATTCCCTGCATTTTTTCAGATCTGGATGAATGTGCCGAAGAGCTCCATGATTGTATATCAAGAGGCATGATGTGCAAAAACCTGATTGGTACCTTCATGTGTATCTGCCCTCCTGGAATGACACGTAGACCTGATGGAGAAGGCTGCATGGGTAAATCTTGAAAAAGAGACACTACTCCATATATTGCTGTAATGTTATTATGAAAAGAATATATACATAATATAAATAATATTCATTATTATAATATATAATAAATTATAATATGTAATATAAACACATTTGAAAAATAATTCACAAAGATCACTATGGTTCAGCTCCCTTTTTAGAAGGGAATGTTATAAGTGGAAATCTGTTCCTCTCAATCAGTCCAAGAAAACTTGTACATATTGATGTCCCTGATGGGCAGGGACTTCTGAATGCAAGAAATTCCAAACATTTACTTTATGTTGCATTGTTTGACACTGGAGTATTGGTATTGGAGTTGTTATTGGGACTTTGAGCCAGTTCTGTTTATTTAGAATAAGCCATCTCCTCAAAGAAGCCAGTTCCCGTCTATAATGAGTCTGGCACTGGAGTGACAACATCTCCCACCTGACTCATCCCCAGCGAGGAGACCCTGGTGCGGATCTCTGCTCCCTGCAGAGCTAGTTCACGCAGCAGGGCAGTGCTGGTCTCTGCCATGTGACCTGGTTCATCAGGGAGCAAAGATCCACACCAGGGTCTCCTCACCACTGCTACCTGTCCCACGGAGCCCTGCGCCACCTGGGCAGCATGGGGCCGGCAGCAGTGGTGAAGAGACCCCCAACACAGATCTCTGCTCCCTGCAGAGCCAGGTCTGTGCTGCTTCCCTGCCCTGCGACCCAGCATAACAGGGATCAGAAATCCACACAGGGGTCTCCTCGCCTACACAGAGGGCAGCATCCCTCCCTCTTCCCCTCCCCCAGATGAGCCACCCACGGCCCCATCCTGCTCCCCGCTGGGACCCTGCAGCCCCAAGCCCTGCCTAGCTGGGTAGGGCTGTGCAGAGCTTCCGTTGCAGCCCATTCAAAACAGATTTGAAGGAGATTTGGCCAAAATGAAACAGGACAGCGATCCAAAACACCGAAACGAATCACTGTCCTCCAAAATGACTGAATCTGAAACAGAATTGAAACACAGCCATTTTGCACAGCCTTAGTACTCAGTCTTTAGACATGCAACAGTCCTTCTTCTGAAACATGTGGGCTCCCTCCTACACAGCCCACTGGACTTTGGGCCCTGAACTGGGTGCCCCTGCCGCACCCCAGTGCCCTCCAATCTTCCTCTTACAGCCACAGCCAGTCCTCTGGTCCAAACATAAATTAAAACATGAGCATCCACTCCCAAACACAAAGTTCCCTCATCAGAGTTAATCCGACCCTGTGGTACCACTAACACAAAGATTCAAGGCACTTCTCTCCTGCTGCTTGAGGTGCAGGGTTTCTTCCACCCTTCTGTGGTGCAGAGTCCTTCCTCTGTACACAGCCCAGACTGGCTCTTCTCTGGAGCTTTGTCTCCTATGGCCAGATTGCTCCTTCTGGGACAGGCCCTGGGTTTATGGGCCTCTCCTTGGGTCATCTGACCCTTTACTTCTGCCCCAGGCCTGCCAATCACCTCCTGCACCTGAGGTAGCCTGTCATTTTATTTAAGGCCCCTTTTGCCATTATAAGTCTGTTCAAGGGGCTGAGGCTGGAGCTGGCCTGGGGGCCCAGGACTCCCTTCCCCTCTCAGTAATGGGGCGGGGGGCCCGTTACACCATCCCTGTTATAGTTTACTTTCTACTGTCTTCCTAACAAAGTGCTTTGTTTTTAAAGAAAGAAAGTGAACATCAGCATTCTGAAGGCCCTATGCACAATTATACATGAAGGCCCTAAATATGATTATATAAATCCTAACAACCAAAATATATATTTATTGAATAAAAAAGCTCTTAACAGTTTAATTGATCATTTTAAATCACTTTGAAGTCACTTATTTTGTTTGATACATTTTGTAAAGATGAAAATGAATGCCGAACAAAGCCAGGTATCTGTGAAAATGGTCGCTGTGTGAACACCATTGGAAGCTATCGGTGTGACTGCAATGAGGGATTTCAGTCAAGCCCATCCGGCACTGAGTGCCTTGGTAAGTTTAGTTCCCTGCCATACGTTTTCATTAAGAATACACACAACCCCCGCTTAGCGCTCTTAACTGCTTCCTGAAAAAACGAGCATTAAGCAAAACGAGCGTTAAGCGAAACAGAAAGTATTTTACCACCCAAGATGGCGACTGCAGTTGTTTTTAATGACCCAAGATGGCAACCACGAGCGTTATAACAAAACTCGCTAAGCGCTTAGTGAAATCAGGTATCAACTTAAAATGAGCGTTGTAGCGAAATAGCACTCAGTGAAACAGCATTAAGTGGGGGTTGCCTGTAAACTCCAATGTGTTTTAAAATGGTGGTAGAATTTTTAAATAAAAGCATTGTAAATTTGCAGTATTTTGATTCCCCAGAATATTGCAAACATTGCGTGCTTCACATTTCTTGTCTGTGTATGGAAGAGATTAAATATTATCCTTATTTTTTCAGGATTATGATAAACTTGGCTTTCAAAGAAAAAAAGCTGATGGTTTGTTTTATTTCTGTAAAAAATGAGGCATTTCAAATTCAGAAAAAAATACATCTGCAGGTCTAATGCCAAAGAAAAAATAGTTTGCATTCAGTGTAAGCCATGCTGATGTTAATGTCAAGAAAGAAAACTGAACATTAAGAAGAAAACATGCCTAGATATTTAATTAATGATTCTGAATATATATTTTTTCAAGATACTGCTGCTACGGAAATCAGACTTCTGCTGTTCCCAATGTTTATGTGTAAAGACGTGGACAAAGCAATACTTTTTCATTAAAATTTTTGAAACACAGGGACCTCCTGGATCATCAAAGATATTGTAGGCACTGCAACATAGATTCTTTCGTAAACTTATCAAGTTTCATTCAATAGGTCATTATGGTTTTTCTTTTGACCGTACTATGGCTTCTGCAGATCACTGCTTTAAAGGTTAGAAACTTTCTTCTAACTCCCAGCCTAAATTTCTTGGTTAGGAAGATATTTCTCTCCCGTGCTTATTTGTTGATTATTTTCCCGTGACTGTTTAAAATAAGGGACATCAATGGCAAAATTCTGTATGTCTTAGGATCTAAGTTCAGGCCTTTGATGGAAACTTTAAATAAACTCTAAACAATTAAAAGAGTGGTGATGCAACTATTAAAGATTTATTATGCCTAGTAGGAAACAATAAAACAGTTTTAGAACTGTCTTATAGCCTAGAGGAAAAGGAGAATGTAGGACATTTCCAATGAATGAGAAGAAGCTATAGCTAGTTGGAAAGCTTGGCATTACCTGTTGAAGAAAAGGAAACTATTAGAGTTGTTGAACATGGGGGCTTGTTTTGATAGAAACTTCTGAACGCTGGACAGAACAATTTTCAGTCTTCAAGAATTGGTTTCACTAATGACAATCATCCACTTTCTGTGGCGGAGGTCCAATGGGGCCACAGATTTTGCAGCAGGCCCCACTCCACCCTCACTGTCCCCACCCCCAAATTTCCTGGCTCACTGGAAGTATCATGGGCTGGATAGAGCAGTTCCATGGGCAAAATCCAGCATGCAGCCCATACCTTTAATACCCCTTTTCTAAAGCAAGCAAATCAGTAGGGTTTCATATTAATCCCGTTGGGCTATACTACAGACATATGTTCCCTGTTTCTGACCCAATGAATCATGAACTATTTTCTAGAAAGTGTGACGGACTTCAGCAAAACAGATGAAGAGTGTCTGTTCTTAAAACTGGCCAGTACTCAGTGATTAGGCACTCTCCTGAGAGGTGGGAAATGTAAGTTTTAATCCACTCAGGCAACAGAGGACAAACTAACTCTTCTATTTTGTGAGCAGGTGCGATCACCACTAGCTTACTATATGAAAAGAGGCTGTAGCACCACTCTTACCTCCTTTCACTGTATTTTAGAAATTAGTCATTACAGCATAAATCCTGATGTTATCTGAGTGTGTTAAGCACATTCTAAGACTGCTTACTAGACAATGCTCTTGGGGGACTCTCAACAAAGGAACATCTAATTTCTGAATTGGATGGGGTTTATACATGAGCAAGATGCTTCTGAGGTTTCAGTTGAGCAGTTCAACATCTGTGCATCTACAGAAGCAAAATTTTGAGCACCTGAAGACTTAATATAAAAAAGTGAGGAGGTGATAAAGTTAGTCACTTTGTAAGCTGACTAGAGATTTTCATGACTGCAATTTTGGATCTAGCTGTCAGTGTCATAATTCATGTGGCAAATTATTAGTAGAAAATATTAGATTTTTCAAATGAGTAGAGTTAAGTAGATTGAGGACAAGATTCTATTGGTACTATTAAATGCTGATCAGGATGGTCATGTTCAAATACATTTGCCTTGTATAACTGTAGTCTGTTCCTTTGTTATCAAATGGAATCCAGCTACAGGATCTCCTCTTGAACAATATTCATAGAATCATAATAGATAATAATGCATGTTTCAATGCCAAGATATGGACTTACAGGATTATTTAATAGGATTTTTGCATTTAAAAATCTTTCTCATATTATTTTACTAAGTTATGGTATAATCAGTTCCATGTAAAGTGTTGATCCCGTAGCAAAACAGTAATATTCAAGGTGCACTGCATTTTCTGAGGATTAATGACCAGATGGGAAGAGGATGCCTTGGGCCATTAGCCCCAGCCAGTCTTTAATCCCAAGGACATTCCCTGCATGGAGGTCATTATTGCTCTTTAACTTAAATATATGGAAACATAGTTTAAAAAATTACATTTTGGGTTTGTTTGCACCTTGCTGTTTTTTCTTTAGGGCTTTTAGAGTTACGGAATCATTAAAATACCTTGGCTGTGTTGCCTGTTTCTTAAGAATTAAAGCCCAGTACATTTGCTAATCAGATTCTGTGATCTAATGCAAAACTTCTACTTAATATATATTGTACAGTCCTGTCTCAGGCTTCTATTAAATTCAAAATATATTCCACATGTCAAGTATTCTGTGTGTCAAGTATGAATCAAAGCTTTGTATGAACATGGGCCTCCCGGTTAGAATGTGCACAGTGAACTTTAGCTTGCAAAATTCCATGCACAATACACCTATTTAGTGGAGCAGAAGTCTACTTCAGTTAGTTCATATGTAGCATAAAGAAAAGAGCTAAATAGTGTTAACATTTTCAGAATCAGGCATAATAGGAACATTCTGCACAGGTGTAAAGCCTTAATGATATTTAAATCAGTTAAGCAATAAATGAAATTACAGTTGATTATTAGTACGTACAAATTAGGATAGCCAGAGGCTTGCTCAATGTAATTGCATTTAACTGTATTTCAGACATGGGGTTTAGCCATCTAAACAAATGGAATGAAAACCGAATGTAAATGTTGTGCTCTTCTTTCCTGAAATTTTCATTGGGTAAATTGGGTACTGGGTAAATTTAGTTATCTGACAATCAGTAACAGTGTTCCAAAACACTCAAGTGACTTAAGTGCCTAAATCTCATTGACACCCTCATTATGCTTCAGATTCCTGAAGTGCTTTTCAAATTTTATCCTGTATCTAGAATTACTAATGCTAGTTTACGTAAAGCATTTAAAAAAACCCTTTTAGTAGCCACTTGCAGATTCACTGTTTAAGGAATTAAGAGCATAAAGGTAATATTTAAAATTCATATATATAAATCTACATCACAAACTAGTGCCTGCCACTTAGCACAGCCTCTCTTCTATGGACCTAATCCACATTCTAGCAATGTTCCTTGGTAGCTATGACATCATGACATGATGAGTGCACAGATATCACAACAAATCTGAAAGTGGATAAAACCCTACACCCTTCCTTTCTCAGCCCATATTAGTATTTATTTCCATAGCAACAATTTCTTTAATAGAGGTTTATGCATTCTTTTCCTAATAGTGGAACAAGTTTGATTTTAAAAATCAGCGAGGAACAAGTCTTTAAGAAATAGATTTATAAAAAGTACTTCTCTTCTGACCAAAATGGTCTAGAGACCTTGCCAGTCTTTCCAGTGCTGTGGTAACCATGCTTCCTCAACTAATAGATATAGGTCACACTCTCACTGAAAAGATCAGTCTCTATTTAGTATCATCAAGTAACATAGCTTGCTGTTCAAATTAATGGGAGGAATCATCATAGGTCTATAGGGGGAAAAATGACCCAGTTTCTTCAGGGAGCTTGCTGATTTTATTCCTTAAATACAAGAACTTTGCTGTCACATGCCTTCCTTCAAAGTATTTGTGAGAATGAACATAATGTGCAAGCGGAACTTACATCAGAAGACATTCAGCTGAATCAGCTAAGCATGATGATGTTTTTCATTCCTCAGAAGTTAATCTGCTTCCCTAAAATTTCTCATGACAAATTTTTAAGTGCTGGTAGTCTGCACCTAGAGAGAGAGTTCAAAAACTAATACAAACCCAGGAGTTCATAAAGTCAAGGGTGTATTACTTTTAGTAGAATATAACTGGTTTTTAATACAAAAGGAAACACTTTTTTCCTAGTAAAAAAACTGTTGTCACACAAGAATCTGCAGTAAGGAAAGCCAGACCATTTTAACTAATGACTCAGGCAGATGACTGCTAGTAATACCTTCTGCATAAGAAGAAGAAAGAAAGCTCCTGGAAGAGTTAGCATATAAACCTTTAGAATTTTTTCATCCTTAATGAGGGTTTCAACTATTCTGCTATAATTAAATCAGCAAAACCCTCTGTGTTTAGACACAGGCCATATACAAATATCAAGTTTCTCCTGGGAGAGTTGCTGCATTCCCAGGAGAAACCAAAGGTGTACAGATGTTCAGGATTTTTCTCCCAGACCAAAATAAGGCCACTCTAGGAAAAAATCTGGGAACACCAGGGTTAAATCATTCATGGAAGAATTTCTCCTGGAAGACCAAATGTGAGCACACATTGTCTGCTAAGAGAAACCACAGCACAAACCTCCAGGATCCCAGGGTGCTTTTGTTCCCTGGCTCTTCCTCCAACTGAGGGATAGTATGTTGCTTACTGGATTCCGCTACTTCAGCTAAGCAGGGAGCAGAACTCTTCACAAGCTCCACATTGTGTTGCAGGGAGATATATGCTGACACTGAGCAGTCTGAGTCAGCCAATCAGGGCTTCCCTGTGTACTGCTGCCATATGTCTCTAGGCAGACTGAGGGAGCCTGCTGAGCATGCTGAGATGTGTGCACAGGGACCTCCTGGTTGCACATCATCAACACTGCAAGCTTTCTGTTCTTCAGGGGCTCAGTATGTGAATGTTTGTTCAGGCATTTCTGAGTAATGTTTTCTTCCAGGAAAATAAACTTGGGAGAATTCTCCAAGGTCACTCAAACATGTGTATACAGCCAAAGTTATAAGATTGTCTAGCTTAACTATGTAGGCAAAAAACACTTGCAAACTGCACCCTTTATCCAGATAACTCTGATGCTAAAACCAAAGTCCAGACCAATCCTCAGAGGTTTAATTGTAACTTTTTGGTTTTTCTCTTTGTTTTCTTTTGTTTTTTCTTTTCTTTTTTTTTTTTTTTTTTTTTTTTTTTTT